CAGCCCGGTCCGCGGCTTTGTGGGGCGCGTGAGGGGTCTCGCACAAACGTCCGGTCGTTCCCCTGAAGCCTCGGGGTGTCGGGGGGACGGGGACGTGGGCTCCTCCCCCGCCTCCCTGTCCTGGGGACGGTTCTCCCGCCGCCCGGCCCAGCAGGGCTGTGCTGGGGCTCCCGGTGCTTTCTGATCCCCTCGCGTGGGATGAGCCAGACACGATTTCCAAGTTTAAGGGCGTGTCCCGCTCGGGACGTTGTTTATTTTTTAGCATAAAAATGTTTGTTACCCAAATGGCATTTCTGATCAATAGCGATTAGTAAATACTTGTAGTTTGCAGTGAGGAGCTGCGTGCAGGAACAGTTAAAAATGCTTCTCTGTGGCGTTCCTGAAACGCTGCGTTTGTGCTCTCGTCCCTGAAGAAAGGAGCTGTTTGTAGCGCTGAAACAGAATGTGTTCATTATGTCAGGGGAATAAATCACGCTGTTGTACTGTGGTGTGTTAGCACTGTCCTCTCTGGTGAGACCAGCCAGCTCTGCTCAGCCTGTTCAGCTGCCTGACAAGTGCTGTCTCAAGTACTCTCATTCTGTTTAGCGCTGTCAGATGTGATATCTTCATCTGATCACAAAACAAACGCCCTTTCTTTTTCTCCTCACCGTTTTCTTCTCTCCCCCATGTCTTTGTTCTGTTCTGTATTGTTTTACTCAAAGCTCCTGTGCCCAGCACTGCAGCAGCAACAGCAGCAGGGTGTTATCAATACTGAGAGTTAGTTCTGCCAACCCCCTCCCTGAGTGCTCTGTTTCATCTACCAGCCCTGAATTAACCTTTTTTGTTTTCCCCAGTTGAATTGTGTATTGGTTTCGTTCTGTTCCTTGTCATTTTTTTTTTGTGTTCACGTTGTGCTGGAGTTGAGATTTGCTCTGATCACTTGGTGGATAGTTAACAAAGAGCTACAGGTCTGTAACTCAAAGTGTCCTTCAGCCTTTGACTCTAAACAAGTGTGGAAGTGCGAATGAGCGATCAGTGAAGGGAGGTGCCTGGAGATACTGGTGAGTTCTGAACTGTGACAGTGAAATTTGACTTCTCTTGCAGATCGATAGGCAGCAGTTTGAAGAGACCGTCCGAACGCTCAACAACCTCTATGCAGAAGCTGAAAAACTCGGGGGCCAATCTTACCTGGAAGGGTGTCTGGCCTGTCTGACTGCCTACACCATCTTCCTGTGCATGGAGACACACTATGAAAAGGTGCACTGCTGGGGGGCAGGATGTGTCACGGGCTTCAATCACAGGCTTGGCTCTGCCTGGGTTTTCTGTGACTTGCACCATTGTTGTGCAAATTCCACACAGACTCTGGATCTTGCTGCTGAGTGATTTTGCACGTGTATCAGACAGACTTATGTGTGTCAGTCAGTTTGAGTAACGTCATGATTGCTTGTGCTGCAGAGGAATGGCACAAGTTCTGGTTCTGGTTGTGTGCTGGGTTCTCCTAACGCTGCTGTATCTGTGATATAACTGGGGCTCTGACTCCAGCGTAGGGAAAAACCTGATGGAGGAACTGTGACCTCTGTGCTCTTCTGTTTCCAGGTTCTAAAGAAAATTGCCAAGTTCATTCAGGAACAGAACGAGAAGATCTACGCTCCTCAGGGCCTCCTTCTGACAGACCCCATTGAGAGAGGACTAAGAGTTGTATCCTTCCGTGGTGTCTTTGGTGAATTTTGTCATTAGCCTTGTTACTCTCCGTGGTGTACTGTTCTCTGGTCAGATTTTAGTGCATTAAGATTTGTCACATCAAAGAACACTGGAAAAGCCAATATTGGAATCTGTCCTTTGAGACTTCCTGTCCTCTGACTTCCAGACAGAGTTACTCCCAATGCTGCCGTTGTGAAGACCTCACGTAGCAAATCCAGGTGTAGAATGAGTAACATGTACCAGCTTTTGAGAATTCTGAAACCAAAGCAACTTGAAACACAGGATGCCAATTAAACACATGAAGGTTGCCCAGAGAAGCTGTGGCTGCTCCTCCCTGGAAGTGTTCTCGGCCAGGCTGGATGAGGCTTTGAGCAACCTGGTCTAGTGGAAGGTGTCCCTGCTGCTGGCAGGGGGGTTGGGACTGGATGATCTTTAAGGTCCCTTCCAACCCAAACCAGTCTATGATTCTAAGGCTGGTTCTTTGGGTTATCTCTGTATTTGTCTAATTAGTTGGGTTATCTCTGTATTTGTCTAATTAGCTCACAGCTGCCACCTACACGA